GGGCGGGAGGGGGACCCTGAGGGTGGGGGCACCCTCAGGGCACTATAGTGCCAGGAAAACGAGTATGTTTTCCTGGCACTATAGTGGTCCTTTAATGAACTGGATTCTATTTGCAATGTGGCAGCTTAATGCAGTGAATTCAAACCGTTTCATGTTTTGGGCTGCATTAGTCAGGTTTTCTCAATCTGCTTTCGGTTAAAAGTTCACTTTGAATTCAGGCCCATTATCTCTTTTCTGAAAACACCCTGTCAATATTATTGAGAATACTGCTGTCAATTGTCTGAAACCTTTCAACCTGACTTGGATCAGCCAGGTTGGTGCACTTAAACTATTTACGCTCCTGTTTACTTAGGGTCATTTCTCTAGACTTACAACAAAACCTTATCGAGGCACAATAGGCACCAAAACAACTTTAGCTGAAATGAAGTAGTAGTTTTGGTGTATAGATCATGTTCCTGCAGTCTCACTGCTCAATTCTGCAATTTTTAGGTGGTAAATCACTTATGTTTCTGTTTATGCAGCCCTCCTCTGACTTACGCAGCCTGAATGGAAAAATAATGGCACAAACTGAACTGTAATTAGACAGGAGGCTCCTGCATGGTCTATCAAGTAATTTAACAGAGGAGATAGTAATGTGTAAACATTAGATGACTGTTTACAGGAAGTGTAAAGAAAGTATGTGGAAGTTACATGCAGAGGTGTGACTAGGGTGCATAAACAAAGCGATTTAACTCCTAAATGGAGAATTAAGCAGTGACACTGCAGGGGCATTATCTATACACCAAAATTGCTTCATTAAAGGGACACTGTAGGCACCCAGACTACTTCAGCTAATTGAAGTGGTCTGGGTTCTGTGTCCCTTTTGTACTTAGTGCTGCAATGTAAACATTGCAGTTACAGAGAACTGCAATGTTTACATTGCAAGTCTGTCTGTTTGCATGAGGAGTAATCTATATTTAGAGGTAAAAAAAACTAGTGCTAATTAGAGTAGGTTTTTTTTTTTTTTTTTTAAATACTGTACTTGGTGATCATCCCATTGCTCTGCCACAGTACTTTGCAATTTTTAGGGAACATGAGGGAGGGGGCAGATTTAGTTAAAATGTTGATTAAACCTCACTGTGTTGGATATTTCAGCATGGTTACGGCCCGCCTCCCCCTGCACAGACTTATCACACTGTCAGAAATAACCTCTGAAACCATTCTAAGGAAGTGTCATCACACGTTTATAAGAGTGCATGCTGTTCTTGTAAACCACATGCAGTAGAGTTGCACAATCTGCTGGGTAAGATGTTTTGGGTTTTTTGGCCTCACTGTAGTTACAGGCTTTTATCTATATCAAGGAGATTTATAGGGCTATTAACTAAAGTGAAAAATCAAAGTATATTTCAGATTTAGGGCCGTAGTAGCTGAACAGAAGCATAGCTGGCGTAGAAAGTCTGGTTTGGCTATTTTGAAATTTACTTTGAATTTTAACTTTAGTGAATAATCCTGATATTTTAGGATGACTAAGGCGGGAGGGGCAAGGTGTGAGGCCCTTATTTACTATGGTAATGGTCAATATTGCGGTATATTGACCACAGTAACATGCAGTGTCTGTTAGCAGATGTGACTATTTGACTGACGGCGTGAGATACAGCCATGATCTATAAATTCAAACACTCTGTCATACATAAATGATTAGTGATCAGAGGTGTGTAAAAATAGCTTTAATAAGATTATTCAAAAATATATATAAAAAAAAACAGAATTTTACAAAAATCATTACAACATTCAAAAACACAAACTTCTTTTGGTAACATACGTTCAAACTCCTCCATACTACTGCACTGTGATTTAAAATCTATTTAAGGCTCGTGGTGAGTTATGTACAAGTTTCACACAGAACCCAGCTACGTTCTAAAACTTCTTTGGGAGAGTCTCGGACCTTCTTCCAACCATAACCACTTCAGGTTGCAGTTCTCATATTGTTGGAGTGTTCCTTTAGCAATATAATGCTTACGTAAAATGAATCAGATTCTCTCCCCACACCACATTAGCTAGTAAGGGTGGGAGTGCAGATGTGGAGAATAAAAGGTGCCAATACACAGTGGGAAGCTAATCAGGTGAGAGGTACAGATGGTCCTTCACCATCAGACAGAAGAAACCTAGAATTAAAAGTGCTGCACAGTCCAATACCGGTGCTACTAGTGAGGGTAAACATAATAATTATTAGGGGTGCAGTGTAAGGAGAATGCAGCACAAACTGTGGCAGTTGTTGGGTCCAGTGGGCTCCACGGTGGGTGCATTATACACAGTTCTTTTGGTGGTAGCTGTACACAGTAGGTAGGACCACTTGTGGCACTTTAGCAGTGATAATGCTGGCCCTGTTATTCTCTGCCAGTGGCAAGAGCTGAATGGATCGATTGTCCTCCTGGGGTCATCTCAATGAATCGCCCCATACATGGCGCTCAAAGATTTTCTGTTGTCGCTATCCGGTTCCAACTTATTGGATAAAACACTCAAGATTTTGTCAAATTTCTTGTACCTTTCGCTCTGATCCACATTGGCACCTTTATTGCCCCAAAACAACCTCAAAGAGAACTCGGTCTGAAAGGCTTCCCTGAGCTCCGGGTGGGGTTGGAAACCTGCAAGGTGCAATAGGTTTAAAAAAAATAATTAGAAAAAAATTACCTGTGCTCTTTCCCTAATCCAGATGTATATTTAAACAAGTGGAGGTTATTTAGTTACTCCAATGGCCATTGAAGGGAATGCCCGCCTGCCACGTCAAGGCAAACCTCTCAGGTGGGTCCTACACTGACCTTTCACCTTGCTTCCTTGAGCTTCTGACAAAGATATCTCTAAAGATATCTCTAATGAGACAGAGGGGTATTTCTTATATACACCCCTACATGCTTATTAACCCCCTAATAAGGAACACATGGGATGGGCGAAAGCATTGTAACATAGCTCTGTGATACAAAAAGTGAATACTAATAAAAATAAAAAAAACAACCAATTCCTGCGCTCAAACTCCCATCACTCCTGGGCGTCAGCAACGACCATAGTACACATCAGCCCCAATACACACTGTAAAAAGAAAAGAAAAAAAGAGCGCAGGTAACTTTTTTTCTTTGTACTGTATGTATTGGGGCTGATGTGTACTATGGTTGTTGCTGCTGCCCAGGAGTGATGGGAGTTTGAGCGCAGGACTTTTTTTTTAATGAAAAAATAATTAATTGAATGGAAAACATTCCGCAAGTGTAAGTTATTGATCCACCATCTGTATTCTTCCTAGCTCATACTATGCATTCCTATCTAAAATCAATCTGCTAATCTGCTTCTCCATCTATCAATCTCCCCACCCCCACCTGCCTAGTCTATATTTTATTTTGGAGTATTGCACAATCTACTTCTCAGGTCAGTGTCCGGCATTAAAGGGACACTATAGTCACCAGAACCACTACAGCTTATTGAATTTGTTCTGTGAGTAGAATCATTCCCTTCAGGCTTTTTGCTGTAAACACTGTCTTTTCAGAGAAAATGCAGTGTTTACATTACAGCCTAGGCATACCTTCACTGGCCACTCCTTAGATGGCTGTTAGAGATCCTTCCTGGGTCATGGCTGCCTAAAAAGCATCCAAACATTCAGTGTCTCCTCACTCTACATGCAGACACTGAACTTTCCTCATAGAGATTTATTGATTCAATTCATCTCTATGAGGAGATGCTGATTGGCCAGGGCTGTGTTTGAATCATGCTGGTTCTGCCCCTGATCTGTCTCCTTGTCAGTCTCAGCCAATCCTATGGGGAAGCATTGTGATTGGATCAGGCTACCACTTCTGCTGATGTCAGCAGACTGCTTGTTTTTTTTTAGGCAAACAGCATGCAGATCTACAGCTTCTAGCTTGAATACAGTAAGATTTTGCTATATTTATGGAGGCACGAGGGGCCCAGGGGGGCTAGATGGTGGTTTTAACACTATAGGGTCAGGAATACATGTTTGTGTTCCTGACCCTATAGTGATCCTTTAATATCACCATACCACCCAGCTGTCCAGGATCTGGTTGGGATATTCCTGATTTGGGATCCCTGCCCGGCAGGCCTGGGTATTTCTTCTAAAAGCAAAGCACATGCATGAATCTCGCCCATGCTCTTGGACAAGAAATCCAGCACAATTATTAGTCTTTAAAACCTGGCTTAACGTAGTTGTTATGGTGCAAGGAGGCTCTAGGTGCAGATTCTCAGAATTTCGTAACATCATTTTCAAACGGTTTCATGAAAACCTAGGGTTGCCTCAGTTCCCATTAACCTACCTTCTCTGATACTTATAATGAGGAAGTTTGACATTGTTATTACGAGGCCAGAGCATTTGTACAATTTAGCCAGATGAAGCTGAACTGAAATTTAGATCTATAAGAGAGCGTCCTCAAACGCATTAATGGTGGTCCAGAGTGCACAACGAGGATATAAAATAATCTGTAGTGGTGATTGAGATTGGCATGTTCCTTCTTGGAAACTTGCGTCTCTGTTTAATTGCAGACCCTTGTTATCACCCGAGATTTACTTAGTTTTTTTTTCTGTTAACCCCATCCAGTTCCTGACATAATTACCTTTCAGCTTCATTTCGGCATTGTTCTTGTGGAGGTCTGCATTAGCAGCGAAGGACCGCGCAGCCTGCAGGAGACAGAGCAATCGTCCGCAGCTTTCCTCCACAGGCCCCCCCCAGTCTTCCTCGCCTTCCATGGCCTTGAGCACCGGCAAGATGTGGGGAACTACAATATGATTTGCGGGGGGTAGGTTTCTGCCTGTATGACAATGAGAGATGCAAGGTTAGGGATGGAAGAGATCAGACACTGCAGAGACTTTTTAAGAAGTGGAAATAAAATGGAGGGTAGGGAGGAGCATAATATACAGGTATAGATAAGGTCAGAATTCAAACATGTTATAGAGTATAAAGTCAGGCTAGAAGAGGCAGAACTAACCCTCATCCAAATCTCTCAGCGATGGTTTCAGCTGCTTTTGAAATGAAATCGCACTTTCTGTGTGCGTCTGGCGCAACATCTGCCATGTCTGTTCCAGTCGCGTCACCTGTAAGAATAGTGGGGGCATAAGTCTTAGTACACAGACAAGAAAATAATAAGTATATAATCTAGACCCTCTACCTTTTACTCTAAACCAGGGGTGGCCAAAAGGTGGATCCCTAGCTGCTAGCAAATAATCATGGGGTTTGTAGTCATATCACAGCAAGGGGCCTACGTTTTGGCTACTCATCTTTTTTTTCTCATTTCATAAAAATGGTGCAGTTGTGCTTTATGTGTTTAAACAAATACCACCAGTGAAAAAGTAAAAACTATAAAACCAGTGAGAACACATCTACAAATAAACACTGCTGTGATTTCACGAAAAAAGGATTTTTTTTCATCTGCCCATTTGACTTAAATTTTGCATATTAATGAGTCAACAGTACCATGACTCACTGTTTAGTAGATAAGCCCCCAGGTGCATTTTATTTAAAGATGAAAAATCTTTACGTGGTTTCCAGTTAGCAAACAGTTCTCATTTCTGATTGGCCTGTGTCTCTTACCTGGGGTAGTGTCAGCGCCTTCATCACAGCAGAGAACGCAAATAGATCCCCTGCAACATCTCGCAGTTCTGTCGCCAGCTGAATAATGCGATGGAGAGTGTGCGCTCGTTCCGTCACTGCTCCAGTGCAGCCCAGGATATCCACTGCTACACCCAGACAGAGCAGGTGATGCCTGGGGGAGTACATGGCGTACATTAAATATATTCAGGAAAATGTTACTGTCAGGGTTATTTACTAAAAATGTGAATTATGCAAGATACTTGTTTTTAAAAAAAATAAAAATTTAAATGATTATAATTAAGGTACTTGTTTTAGAACAACACAGTTATTTATATATTGACAATAAAATAACCCATATTTATTTTAGTTGACTGTCCTTTTAACAGTATGCATTTATTATTATTTTTATTATTTATATAGCGCCAGCAAATTCCGTAGCGCTGTACAATGGGTTGACTAACAGACACGTAATTGTAACCAGACAAATGGACGTACAGGAACAGAGGGGTTGAGGGCCCTGCTCAATGAGCTTACATGCTAGAGGGAGTGGGGTATAGTGACACAAAGGGTAAAAGTAGGGGTAACAAAGTAGGTTACTAGCAAATTATTCACTGAGGGCTAAGTAGGCAACATGTCCTTAAAATATTAAAAAGTATAGAGGTACTGACCTCTCCAGAAGGTCCCGTCTGAACTGCTGTCCATATGGTAATGTTATCAGCTCCAGTCCAGACTGCACCCCCATAATCCTCTGTTGTTCTGGAGAAACACCCAAAATCCGAATCGCCTGTGAATGACAATACGCAGGTGAAGGTGTTAAGCAATGAGGATTATGTGGGCATGCAATGGCAGACATGGCGAGAGACCTAGTGTTTATACCTGGCAGTCTTCCTGTAGGATGTGCAGGGCACACTCTCGGCAGTCTTGATGACTGACAATCTCCTTCAACTTCCTCAAAGCAATAGGCTCTAGAGGTTTGTTTTCCGGGGACAGCAGAAGAGACTGAAATTGTTGGGGCTGGTAAGAAGATGTGTTTTGTATCTGTGGCCTGACAAATCCACCTTCTTCATCATGAGTGTTGGATGAAGGGCTTACTGTTGTGGACGATGGGCTTACAGTTGTGGAAGAAGGGCTTACAGTTGTGGATGAAGGGCTTACAGTTGTTGACGAAGGACTTACAGGTTTGGATGAAGGGCTTACAGTTGTGCTTGAATGGCTTGGTCTAGAATTGTCCACTTGAGTTTGACAGATGTCCATGGGGCTGTCGCCATCTAAGAAACCAAAAGTGGTCTCTGTAGCCCGAGCACGGGTTCTCCATCTTTCCTCCACCTTCAGAGTGTCCACATATTTCCTGTGGTTTACTGGGGCCCTAGGAACCAGTTCACAATATGTGTCAGTAGCCTCTGTAGTTTCTGGGAGCAGTATAGAAGGAGCTCGTATGGGTTTTGGGGGTGCCTTGGAGTGTAGCTGACTGTCTGATCCACGTAATGCACTGTTCCCATCAAGGTCCAATGTTTGGGCTGGAACGGCCTTCGCACGTAAGACAGGATCACTTCCCGTGCGGAACATGGGTGAGAGAGGAGCTGGGCTCTGCTCCTGTGTGGTCACTGAGACTTCACCCGTGACAGCTGGAAAAACAGTAACAGAACCTTATAGACAGGAAAAAATGGGTACAGATATCAAACAAAGACAGAGGAATAGGACACGGACAGTAAACTTCAAAATTAGAAGGTAAAATAACGGAAATAAGAAGAAACAAATAATTTGATAGAAATATAACAGGTGATGAAAGGATATTCTAAAGATGAACTTACTGGAGAAGAGGTTGCTGTCAGACTGGGCACTTTGTAGTGGACGTTCCTTCAAGATGTCTAAGTTCCCTGGTTGACTTCCAAATCTATCTTTATTTCTAAGAGACACAAAAGCAAGTCAATTGCATTATGTTCACAAATTAGGAATATAGAAATTAGAACGGAATAGACACATAAACCTTTAGTTAGTTTAAATAAATAGCATATTTACATCCTACTGGGATGATCCAAGTCACCTTTAGATAGACTATTACCACTTCCTCCTACTTCTAAAATGTGTTTTTAAAAAGGGCCTTTAGAGTGGTCATGTGCCATATGGGCTACTCAAAAGTGTACATAGCTATTACTACATTGCATCCACTGGTGGTCCCTTAGACGTGTGCCTAGTCCTCCTTCTATGACATCTGATCCTAGTTGAAACAATATAGTTCTGATCTAAAGACCTGTGAAACCACTGTGGGCTCTAAGAGAAAGTGCATAGTGAGTGATATAGGGGTCTGTTGTGGTTATTGGGGTTAAGATAGGTTCTCACCGCAGTAGGTTGCTGTCAGTCAAGCGTAAGTTTTTTCTGCGGTCTTTATTCACAGTCTGTATATTATGCCTTTCTTGGATGGCTCGGAGAGGAAGAGTCCTGTTGACGGGACACACGATGACTGCTCTGGAGGACACAGAAACCATCTTTTTGTCCCCCACATATGAGCGAACTAATGCTGGGATGTTATCAAACTGATCCTGCTCTAGCTGGTAGAGAGTCCGTGTGTGGCCACGTTTTGGGCGAAGGGTTACAGCAATTATCTTGAAATGTAGGACCTGTCCAGAGCAGGCGCAGCTCAAGACGTAGTCTCCCAGAGATGAGAGAGAGTCACGAATTAGGAAGTCACCATCCTCATGCAGCAACCGCTCAGCCTCCTGTGGGTGACAAGGACAATCAGATGCAAGAACAGAGAGTATTAGAGAGAAAGGTAGTGGCTAGGGATTGGCAAGTAATGGACACACTTGTATAAAATGGGTGTAGGATTGGTAAGATGCATGGGTTAGTGCTTATTCCTAATAAGAGGATGGTCAGTCCACAGTGTGAGGCCTAATGTGAGGGTTGTGTAGTGGTCAGTCCACAGTGTGAGGTCTATAGTGAGGGTTGTGTAGTGGTCAGTCCACAGTGACAGGTCCATAGTGAGGGTTCTATAGTGATGAGGCTCCGGTTGGGTATACAGCAGTGGTTTATAAAACAAGCCGTCACAAAGCAAAAGCACCATTTAATTGAATTGGCTAATGACTATATCATTGACCTAGACCATCAACAGCCCTAGATGACCGGATTGAGAAGGGTCACTGTTTAGAGAATGGCAACCATAGGTCAGTAAAAGGGATAGTGGGTTATGCTGCTATTCTCTTACCTGTCGTGGAAGAGGCCCATGATACCACGCGTGACTCCTAAGGTCCTCACTGCTCAGCTTCAGCTCTTCCTCCAGCTCCTTCTTTAGGGTCTCACTGGGAGACAGCATATCGGAGTCTATTATGAGACACGATCACCAAATAAATATAACTGTCCCAGGGTATAAAAAAACGTTTGGGGAATATCTACTGGAAGAGCTACAAAATCATAATTAAAGGAGGAAACCGGTGGAGAGATTACGAGATGGAATGTAGAAAATCAGAATGAGAAGCAACAGTTATAACAACAGATGTTATACAATGTGGTGGAGATAGGTAAATATAGAGGTAAATGCAACGAAGGAATGGGACAACAGGGTACGTGGAGAATAGCTCTGTATATTGGTGCGACAGTACTTTTAATGCAGAAATGCGGTATAGTATTGATTTAATGCAATATGCCTTTTATAACTTGCTGGTTATCTACAGAAGAAAGAGTGCAGCTAAACAGCAACTCTTCTAACCCAGGCTTCATCGGTAATCCTTTTCTGCTTTGACGTTTATAGGATGTGCTGAGTAGTCCTATAGAAAGCGATTGGAGCTATTGGAGCAATATGATTGGTTATGTCGCTTCCTGGTTTGGTGAAAGTTGACTGCAAATGCTGAATTTGCAGCAAATACATTGTATATATAATATATTAAGACTGAGTTAAAGACAAACCATCACTTTATAAGTTAGACACTCAATAAAACATTGAAAATCATCTGTAACTTGTATTAACTTTTTTCTTTTCATTCGATGCATCCATTTTCTTTCACCTTTATATTAAAGATTTAGCAAATGACATCACAGTTCAGTTCAGCCAGGGCATGTCAGGGCATGCAATGCAAATGAGGAAGAGAAATAACATTTTGTAATACACAGCGAGGTTACTGTACAGACTTTTAAACGTAATGAAATAGATTTAAAAATAAATGTATTTAAAAATCAATTCATTGCAAGGCTAAAGTCCAAACATAACGAATAATAATGATTTAAAAGGAGCACAGTTCAGAATAGCTATAAGGAACGTTTTACAACAGTAGCAAAAGTCAAGGTTCCGCTATTTCCCTTACAAGCCAGAAGAGGGAGCCCCAGACCAGTCAATATAAGGAGTTCTGTCAGTGTTATTTACAATGCCTTGGGGTGAATTGTCAAGAATTCAGAATACATTTCAAATATTAGTTGAATTGAAAGCACAGCTGACTATTTTGATCTAAAATTTTACACTCACTTTTAAATCCTGACATTTCGTACATTCGTGAATATCCCTGTCTTCAATTACAGTTATTTCTATAGAGCCAACATATGCTGTAGCGCTGTACCATAGATAAACAAGACAAACAATTAATCCTGATAAAATGGGCCCTCACCACAGACGATTACAATCTACCTCTACTCTACACGGATTGAGGATGACAGTGAGGGATGTATTTGCTTGGCGTGCATGAATATGACGGATAGTTGCGCTGGCCAGCTTGCTAAGGGTTGCCTATTGCCGAAGGCTACTGATGCGCTCACGTAAAAATACAATAATCTGAGTTAATTTCATGCTGCCCCCAGAAGCAGGACATTAAAGCTCAAACGCAGATCAGAGATACAGATCAGGACTGCCCTGCCAAATCTGGGACTCTTAGCAGGTATGGTACACTAAATGCTGACATAGAAGCCAAACACCCATTTCTAACCCATAAAAGCATTACACGGTATTTAATTTGTGATTATTAAGCAAACTTCCCTCAAATTCTTCGCATTCAGTCTTAGCAAAAGGTAATTTTTGCAAAAATGCTGCTCACCCCCTATACTCTGAAAGACTAATAGGTTAAAGCAATTAAGTTTCTTAAAATCATAACATGTACCTCTTTGATCCCCAAATCAGCATTCTCCCATGTATGTATACACTCAACCTCTTGTACTGCGCTACACAATCTGTTGGCGCTTTATAAATCTGTACCAATAATAGCTAATTGACTGCTATCAACAAGGAGCATTTAGAATCATAACATCAGGGGCCATGCAAAGTAAGGTGTCAGCCAAGATTAATACAAGGCCTAAGGCCCTCGGCAACAGTGGGTGGCCATGCCAAAGGGCCCCGTACGCTACATAGTGCCAATCTTCTTCGCCATGTAGAACGTGACTATCAAATGAAGGCAATGGCCACCAATCTCTCAGGGTATTCCATTAAAATGAGATTTGCCAGAAATTCAAATTTCAAATTTTAAATTAAAATAGCCCGAGAGGAAGAATTCTACGAGTTTGCTATTTTTCCAGCTCGGCTCTAATAGTCTAAGATTTGAAATTAATTTTTAATTCCTGACAAGTAACCCTGACTGCCTTTTCCAACCTGTTGTAAAGCTCAGCACTCCGTCCCATTATAAATGCAGGGAAACGTTGTATCTGCCTGCGGGACATTAGTACATACCGTGGGTTGGTGGCTTCAGTCCCGTGGTTTCAGTCTCATTTCATTGTAATTCAGTTAATGATTACACAGCCAGCCTCATCGAGCGGAAATCACACCCCGGACACGTCAGACACACCGATGGTATAGGGTATGGCCAGCAGCACACACAGTGCTGAACAAACAAGCCTAGGCACACAGCAAAGAATGTCAGCACGGGAGACACATTCTTGCAAGATCTTATGCATGCAAAGGCATGTTCGCCTCCCCCCGCATGCAACCTGCAAGCTGCAGTGACAGCTCCCCTATCAGAATGGCCACTGCGTCCCCCGCAAAAAGTCCTTTTACCCCAACAGTGTTAATAACCGTCACTACAGGTGAATTAAACAGCTACGTCCATGGAGAGGAACAGAGCCGGAGTCTTTACATATTTGTGGTTGAATTGGCTTATGTTACGTTAGAGATAAGAGTACTTTGGAATGTACTATAAAATCAACAACTGCATTTTTTATTCTTTTTTTTAATTTTATTTATATATTTAACTCAAAAATACTGGCACACCCTCGTAACTGTCCAGAATTAGTCTATGATTTATCGTTTGTGGTGACACAAGAGAAAAGTCTCCAATAAGAAAAAAAACAGAACTGGTAATTTATACATACCCCCCCTAATTTCACACAGACACAAAGGGAAACTTTAATTTAATTCATTTTAGAGGTGTGGGTGGGGGTGTGGCCACATGTGGGGCTGTTCTGAGACATTTGAGGTGACTTAATAAAAATGTATAGAACTAAAATGTAATTTATTCTAAGAACAATGTATCTTATTTACACAGACTGATTTTTGTAAACACATTTATTGTAGTTTAAAGACACATTACTGGGAGTATTATTGTTGTGGAGCTCTGTTATACACTCAGACACATTACTGGGAGTAATATTGCAGCGGAGCTCTGTTATACACTCAGACACATTACTGGGAGTATTATTGCTGTGGAGCTCTGTTATACACTCAGACACATTACTGGGAGTATTATTGCTGTGGAGCTCTGTTATACACTCAGACACATTACTGGGAGTATTATTGCTGTGGAGCTCTGTTATACACTCAGACACATTACTGGGAGTATTATTGCTGTGGAGCTCTGTTATACACTCAGACACATTACTGGGAGTATTATTGCTGTGGGGCTCTGTTATACACTCAGACACATTACTGGGAGTATTATTGCTGTGGAGCTCTGTTATACACTCAGACACATTACTGGGAGTATTATTGCTGTGGAGCTCTGCTATACACTCAGACACATTACTGGGAGTATTATTGCTGTGGAGCTCTGTTATACACTCAGACATTACTGGGAGTATTATTGCTGTGGAGCTCTGTTATACACTCAGACACATTACTGGGAGTATTATTGCTGTGGAGCTCTGTTATACACTCAGACACATTACTGGGAGTATTATTGCTGTGGAGCTCTGTTATACACTCAGACACATTACTGGGAGTATTATTGCTGTGGAGCTCTGTTATACACTCAGACACATTACTGGGAGTATTATTGCTGTGGAGCTCTGTTATACACTCAGACACATTACTGGGAGTATTATTGCTGTGGAGCTCTGTTATACACTCAGACACATTACTGGGAGTATTATTGCTGTGGAGCTCTGTTATACACTCAGACACATTACTGGGAGTATTATTGCTGTGGAGCTCTGTTATACACTCAGACACATTACTGGGAGTATTATTGCTGTGGAGCTCTGTTATACACTCAGACACATTACTGGGAGTATTATTGCTGTGGAGCTCTGTTATACACTCAGATACATTACTGGGAGTATTATTGCTGTGGAGCTCTGTTATACACTCAGACACATTACTGGGAGTATTATTGCTGTGGAGCTCTGTTATACACTCAGATACATTACTGGGAGTATTATTGCTGTGGAGCTCTGTTATACACCCAGACACACCAACAATATTGAGCTCCTAGAAAATGTTATTTCTGCAATCTCTACTCAAGGTGGCTAGACCTGTAACTCACTGGTGAGGTTGTGACTTACGAGAGGCCAACGTATTTATCAATGGCGGCAATAATACTCCCAGTAATGTGTCTTTAAACTACAATAAATGTGTTCGAAATCAGTTTGTGTAAAAAGGATACATTGCTCTTGGTATGAATTGTTATTAGTAAATCTCATAAATTATCTTGCCCGCCCCTGGTCACACTATACTCACACCCCTTAAATTACACTAACACTCACACTAACACTCACTCTAACACTAGTTTTTTTTGTTTGTTTTTTTAATTTAATCCCCCCAGCCTCCTTACCTTTTGGAGTGCTGGGGGGATTCCCTGGCGTCCAGTGGTGCTGCTGGGCTTCTGGGCGGGTGGCCGGTCGGGCAGGCAGGCGCGCGAGGGAGCACTCAGTGCTTCCTCTTCAGCTCCCTCGCGCGCCGTGTAGGGATGCCGGCGCCGGAAGATGACGTCATCTTCCGGCTCCGGTATCAGTGCGGTGCGCGAGGGAGCTGAAGAGGAAGCACTGAGTGCTCCCTCACGCGCGCGCCTGCCCGGTGACAGCAGGGCCAGCCTCGGGGGGCCCTGGGGTGGCCGGCTCCTGGGCCCCCCAGGGGAAGAGGCTGGCCCTGTGGGTACATACCGGGTCGCAGTGCATAAGATATCGCAGCATTTGGCAGCCCCATCTACCAGGTGCTAACATAGAAACCTAGAATGTGACGGCAGATAAGAGCCATTCGGCCCATCTAGTCTGCCCAATTTTCTAAATACTTTCATTACTCCCTAGTCTTATCTTATAGTTAGGATAGCCTTATGCCCATCCCACGCATGCTTAAACTCCTTTACTGTGTTAACCTATACCACTTCAGCTGGAAGGCTATTCCATGCATCCACTACCCTCTCATTAAAGTAATACTTCCGGATATTATTTTTAAACCTTTGTCCCTCTAATTTAAGACTGAGTCCTCTTGTTGTGGTAGTTTTTCTTCTTTTAAATATAGTCTCCTCCTTTACTGTGTTGATTCCCTTAATGTATTTAAATATTTCTATCATATCCCCCCCCCCCCAGTCTCATCTTCCCTCCAAGCTATACAAGTTAACATGCTAATGACTGGAAGATGGCAACATACGTCTCAACAGTGGGTGGTAAAAGTTTGGGAAAAGTGAGCAGGCCTTGAGGGGCAACTCGCGTTACCGAAATGCCTATATTGATTGGGCAGGCCATTGTCAAATTGGCCAGAGCCCAACAGAAAGTCTTCTAATGATCATATAATGATGTACTCACACTGTGCTGTCTGCGGACAATTCCCTGTTGTCCCTATAGGCAGGACACCTGGGAACAAAATCTGTACAAACCCCAAAATCTGTACAGGGAGACCTGTGACAATGCCAAGGAGTAAAAGTTTATCTACCCACGAACACCATCACGCATGTAACCATGGGACTATTCCATTACCAGTAAATTGTGGTGAATTAAAAATATTTTTTTTGAAATTTAGGACTGAATAGCAAAACTGGGAAAAAAAAAACTTTGTAATTGTATTTTTACAGCTTCTATATTTTATCTGAAAATTTGCAGATTCAGTTTAAATTGAACATAATTTGAACTAACGCATTTATGTGTTGTTTTAGCTCACTGTTTTATAAGTGATGTTCAGTTCGCTATTCTTCACAGTTAAGACACAGATAAGGAAAATTAGATGTAACGTTTATTATTGCAATACCCCCCATGCCCAGCCGCCTGCTGTCCCAGGTTTATCCCTTTCAATGTTGGGAGGTATGCCCATGGGTGATGGATGCATCCTGTTTATGTGTAACACTGAGAGTATTCTATTTTCTGTATACAGTGCGAAGTACAACATGTGTTTTTTGTTGTGTCCTCATTTTGGGTGCACCATAGAAGTGAGAGTGCATTTTAAAAAAAGGAATACTCCAAGCACCATAACCACTACATTCTGCTGTAATGGTTATGGTGGCAGAAGTACCCTGCTGTCATCCCATACCCTCCAACATTAGCATCCTGTAAAGAGAGACATAGGTGGGAATGCCAGTGATGCAACTTGTATCACTGGCAGCACTGAAGGAATGGTGTGGACCTGGGCATTAAAACCATGTATGCATTTAATTATGTATTTTTTCATTGGGGATATATCTAAAAACAGCTGCGGTTCTCTTGTTTGCTGCCTTTGCAAGCCCTCCCCTTCTAACCCCGCCCAGACTTTCCGTGGCTGTCCAATCACAGACTTCCCAATGCAGCTTAATGAGAAGTCTTTGCAAGGCAGGTGCTCTGGGCAATTGCTGCCTCTTTAGTTTAGCTCCACTGAGCTAACAAAACCAGGAAGTAAAAGGCCTGGGTGTCTGATTGACAGCCATGGGGGTGTAACCAGGGTATTTTTTTTTAATTCATTATTTTGTTGTGTCAGGTGTAAATTTCTATTTAAATCTGCACTGTTTGTAAAATAAAAATGAAGGACACATGCTTCACACATAAAGCACATCAGCAAGCTAAACTACTTTAAGGGGCTGGAGTGTCCGATTAAAAAGCAGGAAGACCACAGCAAAATATTTCCCATAATTCCCTGCAGCAGGAAGGTCATGTGACATAGCACACCCAGGTTTCTGATAGAGAATTCATACGGTGATACGCAAAATGAGCCTGTATAACATGGCTTTTAACTTGCATGAGAGTAGTTTAGTTGTTTTTTCTTGTGACTAAAACTACTGCAGTGAAATCCATGGGAGACCAGGACTGGCTATAAAAAGCTGTTATATATATGTTTATTTTTTGTTACACGGCAGTGGATGGGAATCAAATCCCGCCTGTAGTGTCCATTTAGTTTTTTGGAATCTGTTTCTCAATTTACTGTTTAACAAATAAATTCCTTTACATGTCTTAGCTTTGAAAGGTTAATAATATGTTAGAATGGGTGAAGGCAGGACATGGGGAGGTTTTGTATAATTAGTCATTCTTGGGCAAAGTTCTAAACGCTGAACAACTAGCAGGAAGGTTCCAGTGGTTTCTATAGTAACTGTTTCATTTTGTCCGGGAATACACAACCCCCTCTGTGTGTGTTCAGAGCACCAGTACGGCACCAAAAGGAATGTTATCTTTATTTGGCCATCTTATGGCACCAACATATTCAGCAGCACTGTACAACACCACGTATATAGGACTAGCAGCTCAATATAAAAGACAGAAGGTACTGGAAAAGGGTGCGTGTGGCCTGACCGTCGATGTAGGTAGACGCTCAGGTAAAGAGCTCCGTCGCTGAAGCCTGCAAAAAAAAGCACTTTTGGGTGCCGAAAAATATATACTTAGAGAAATACTCGCCTAACATACTTTTTTTGTTTTTGAACCGTGAGCCTGTGCAGCCTTCCTCAGATAACCCTCTGCCTTTCATATTGGTATTTCGGCGCTCATTGACATTTGCATGGGCATGACTTGCTCCTAGCTTGCTCCTTACTCTTTGCTTGCCTGTAACGTGCTATGCTCGCTATGCTCTGTCTTTTTTTTTCTTTTGCTCTTTGCCATCCATACCTAATTATATTACACCTCCCTGAGCGCTAGCTCACCACCTATGAAATCCTCCCGGAAGGGGTAAAAGCCAAAGCCCAGGGGTAGCGTACTCCACACTATGTTCCAGCCTGGAGGAGGAAATATTTGAGTGCTTCTGGGCCCAACTGGAAGAGCATGATCCACGGACGTACATGAAGACGCCACAAAGCCGATGGTCGCAAATACCTGACAGCCGTATAGACCCGGAAGAAGGAGCTTCAGGTATAGTCCCTCTAGTAGAGAGTCAAAAATGGGTCGCAAGAGAATACTGAGAACGGGCAGCAGCTGAAATAGCCTGCCCTTCGGTCGGTCCCCGCTCAGTTCTCAAGCTGATTTTTGCTCATCTTGTGCCATTACAGAGAGAACATATCTGAAGCATATCAGACTGGTCCCACCCATACGGGCAGTCCAGATCTGAAATGCCAGCAAGTTCTCTCTGCACGAGAGATACAGCAACCCCAGACGATCGTTTCAGCCTTGTTAGGCATCATCAGTGAGGCATAGCTGATATCTCCCTAGGCACCGTGAGCAAGGGGTCCACGTCTGGATTATCCCTTTAAAATTGTGGAGAGTCAAAAATGGGTCGCAAGAGAATACTGATAGTCCCTCTAGTAGCTGCTTCTGCAATTGATGTCCCAGGCCTGGAAGGAATGCAATGTATCTTGGCATAAATGAAGGAGGACAGAATGTTCCTTGCTGGAGAAATAGAGAGGAACGCTCGGGAGATTAGGATGGAGATTCAGGCAATTGGAACGCGGGCTGCTACTCTAGAGGTGAGGGTAGAGGCTGCGGCTAAAGCACACAATACAATGTATCTTGGCATAAATGAAGGAGGACAGAATGTTCCTTGCTGGAGAAATAGAGAGGAACGCTCGGGAGATTAGGATGGAGATTCAGGCAATTGGAACTCGGGCTGCTACTCTAGAGGTGTGGGTAGAGGCTGCGGCTAAAGCACACAGAGCTCTGAATGGGGTACAAGGCTAGATGGGGTACAAGGCTAGATGCTTTGGAAGTGGCTTTTGAGTACCTTATATATCGGTCCAGACGCAATAATATCAAAATTAGAGGGATACCTTAAACAAGAGCTAAGGGTCCCGTGCAGAATATGGTCTTAGAGATTTTCAAACCCTATTACCAGATATACCTGACCCCAGGTGAAAAATTGATAGGGCACATCGTTCAGCAGGTGCACCATGTAGCAAGGATGAACGCCCTAGTGACATAATAGTAAGATGCCATTACCATAGCATAATCATGCTATTGTGCGTAAATGCAGAGGGATGGAGGTTATATATAGGGAGAAGGCGCTTCAGATATTCCAAGATCTATCTCTCTTAAAGAGACAGCAATGGAAACCAATCACTGAACATCTGCGACTCAATCATATTTATTTTGCTTGGGGTCATCCCTTTAAATTACTTGCATTCCACAATGACCAAACCAGAGCGTTATTACCATTGGGGGATCCAAGTAGATTCTTCCAGACAATGGGTCTGGATACACTAGAGGAGTACCACCTTTATTTCAACAAAAGCTCTTACCACCCCCGCTACCTAGGGAATGGTACGAGGCGAGGGAGAATTGGATTCACCATGAGATGCTTGGCTCTCACTTTTCCAATTCATTCATTCATTGCCTTGAGTTCAACAGATGAAAGGGAATGAAAAGGAAGAGGAAAGATTTAAGAGGGGTGAGATAGGGGAAGGGTCCTGAATATTAAATGATAATATGCTACATTAGAAGGATATATTGGCAAAATATGTTTTGTGGTTTAAATGATATATTTTGATTATGACACGTGCGTGAGTATACAACTATACATCTTTTCATATGTGGTGGGAGTGCCCAAAAATTAAAAGCTTTTGGGAAGAAATAAAAAAACTGGTGTCAACAATACTACAGAAAAATATAGAACTAAACCCTTGAATATTTTTATTATCCAAATCAATAACTGGTCTACCCAGACATTCGCAGAAACTAGTATACCTTATCATATTGGCAGCACGTAGATGTATAGCCGCCAACTGGCTAAAAACAGACCTACCATCTATGAGAAAGGTTGATTTAAAAATTAAAGAACATTGTATTATGGACGATTTATCGTGAAGAGTTAGACATTCCTACTCTACTTTTAGTAAAGTCTGGGACCCATGGAAGGCATATATTCAAAGGAAAGACATGCCTAGATAGAGAGAGGTTTTGGGGTTGTTTTATTTCATTCTAAATATAAAATATGCATTGTTGAATAACTAAACTTTGACTTTGACTTAAGAATCAACGTTATAGCTGTATGTAATGATTTATGTTACTGGTTGTGTACCGCGTTCACTCTTCAATGTTAAATAAAGAATAAAAAAAAAAAAAAAGAAAGTTCTGAAAAGTACTCAGGGATGGGAGACTGCAAATTCCCTCTAATCAAGTTGACTAAGGATGATGGGAGTTGAATTTCTCCTGAGATGAAACAAGCAGTTTATCCGTGGATTTTTATTATCTCCAGTGTGGACTCTCGGTATATATTATACAATCACAAGAGGCCGTATTTGATGATCTGTTTGCGGTGTTATACAGAGTTATTTGTTCAGCTCTTTGTACGAAGAATGACTTCTCACAGCTTTCTTTATCTAGAGGCAACGCCTAGCTTAGCACATTCCACAGCCAATTCTATGTATCTGTGGGCTGTTAGCCCACTCCAGCCTTAGTAGCCCACTACGTAGCTACAATATCCCCCTAAACCTCCAAACCCAGGCCAGCCCCCTACTCCTGATCTCCTCATTATTGTCCCCTTAATGTACCCAGCTCAGATACCTACCTTGTGACTGTTTAGGCTGGGGGGGTGGGCAGGAAACCGGTTCTTGGCTGAGAGGGACCCCGGATCTTCCAGCTTTCTAACATCGCTTCATGGTTGTTGGGGTGTGGGAGCTTGTCAGCCTGTTCTCTTCCTGACGTCCTCTGACTGTGACACCAGGAATGCACTCAGCCAGTGGAGGCAGGGCCAGCTGCAGTCAGAGTATCCCAGCGGAGAGCACTGCCTGCAGCACAGGTACACATTCCTACCTGAACTGGACCAGCCCATCTCACCGCCCCATGGAGACTGTCCTCTACAGCAGGGCTGGCTGAGACATAGATCCACAGCTGTTGGAAAACTACAATTCCCATGATACTTTGGCTGCCTTAACACCCGGTGGTTTCCCTTTCGTTCACACCTACGAACAGGCCAAGCACCATAATCACTACCAGGGTCGACTTGTACAATTGCGCACTCACAGCGAACGCTGCCGTATGGCCCTTCCAGATCGTTAGAAATGTAACGGTTTACGTGCCCTGTGTGAATAAGCTAGAGAGGCAGGGACACAATGATACGCCGTGTTCCAAAACACTGAACATACTCGTAAAATCATGTTACATGCTGAAATGTTGCTAGTTAGAGAACTACCTACCCTCTCTCTTATTTTTAGATGACCAGCAGTTTACATTAGACTTGTGAATGGCAGAAAAATTTGGCCCGGGCGAATTACTTAGTCAGAAAATAAAAGTTAGCTCGGGCAGTCTGACTGATGTCCATGTGGCAGAACAAGTATCATCCATTCAAAATATTCGCACAAAGTTTCGAATGAACCAAAATGGTTTGAAAAACAGCAAATGAGTGCACTACAAAATATATACATTATACAGATATTATGTGTATTTTTTGCAGTACATTGATATGTGCATTATTTTGGTTCCCAGATCAACTGAGGTAAAGTAACCAATAGACGAAAATATAAATATAGATTTCTTTTTACCGATTCTCCTTTTTTTCCTCTCAATTTGTTAACTTCCAGGGCCGATCCTGGGCAGGTGCACCGCTAGTAGTGGGCTGTCTGGTCAGACAGTGGGTATACCACTTATTCAATTAGGCAGAGCTTACCCCAGATGGCACGTGCGGGGGACGGGGGCAGGCGGTTGTGGGAGAGCTGTCTGGGCTGAGGTTCTTCCAGTTCCTCACTGCTCTCTTGTTTGCCCTCTGTGGTGATGCCAGGAGCCAGAATATGACATCACTCTTGTACCAGCATCACTAAACAGCGCGAAGGAGCAGTGAGGAACAGGAAGAATACAGGAGCCACTGGACCCCAGGGAGAAAATCCTTACTGGACCCCAGTGAGAGGACCCACACCAGCTCTCCTAAAGGTATGGAGGCTTGATGGGCCTAAAAGAATAAAATAAAACAACACAAAAATAAAATTAATTTGTGAGCGTGTTTGCAAGAATGTGTAAATGTGGGTGTCTGAAAGTTTGTGTGTGCTTGTTAGTGAGTGTATCTGTCAGTGTGTGTGTGTCTGTCTGTCTGTCAGTTAGTGTGTTTCAAATCAGTGAGAGTGTGTGTCAGTGTGTTTATCAGTGAGTGTGTGTCTGTCAGTGAGAGTGTCTGTCAGTGTGTGCTTGTCAGTGATTGTGTTTCAAATCAGTGAGATTGTGTGTCTGTCATTGGGAGTGTCTGTCAGTGAGTGTTTCAAATAAGTCAGAGTGTGTGTCTGTCATTAAGAGTGTGTATGTCAGTGTGTTTTTAAATCAGTGAGATTGTTTGACTGTCATTGTGAGTGTGTATGTGTGTGCGTATGTCAGTGAGTGTGTCTGTCATTGAAAGTGTGTGTATCAGTGTGTATGTGTCTGTCTGACAGTGTGTGCCTGTCAGTGTGTGTCTGTCAGTGATGGTTTCAAATCAGTGAGATTGTGTGTCTGTTATTGAGAGTGTGTGTCTGTCAGTGAGTGTGTGTTTGATTACAAAAAGGGGTGGGGATTATAGATGAAGAGGTGGAATTATTTCCATAAAAACATGCATGTTTTGGGGGCACAAAAATAACTTATGTGACCCTAGGATCAGCCCTGATCCTTTCTCACTTGATCGGTGGATAAAATAAACATTTAGAAAAAGATGGGAAAGCACACATAAAAACAGCCCCCCCACTGTGCCTCCAGCTCAAAGAGGATCACACTCACAGGTTCAACAGTAGAGAAGATAGGACTGGACACTGATATGAGGTCCACGGCAGATTTTATTGGCCATGATGCAGCAAGGCTCTGTTAGAGCCTGAACGTTGCTGTGTCCCGTACAATATCGTCTGCCTTGGACCTCATACCTGCGACTAGTCCTATCTCCTCCACTGTAAAATCAGCATTTACTGGTTGTCCACTAACCATCAATTATCCTTTTCCTATTCTCATTTGGTGACACAAATGGAACTCAATCAAGAATCAAGATTTAAATGAACGTGCTGGTCCATTGTGTGGGCCATTTGTTTGCTCATAAATGGCGCTTCAGAGACAACCAGCTGATCAGCCTAAATTGAGCTGACCTGCAATTCAGAGGAAAACGAATGTGCATGTCTAGACTGCAGCCACAGTGAACCCCCACAAAGTGTCTGTGTACAGTTTAATTACCATCCTTGTAATCTTTTCAAAGGGTTGCCAACATCGGAGACTCCTGTCAAGGAGGGACATCCTAAGCCAGTCAGCATGTCACCCGCCCCTGTGTCTCTCATCGTTACTTATAACTAAAACATTTATTTTTCCATTTTTATTTTGCATAGTAATTCAAAGTAGTTATGGTTGGGTAACAGAGACATTTTAAACACATACATTTTAAAGTTTGGATACTAATTTTTCTTCTCGTATTCTAAATGCCCTTCATTTTGATTGTATTTTTGAGAAGCTATTTAAAATCAGTGTGAGTTTTGTCCTAGCCCACGAGCGTAGACAATCCCAATTAACGTAAAAGACTGATGAGTACTGACCATATAATTGATTGTGACAATCAATTCTGAGATTAATTAGAACCGTAAGCAAGGAGAAAGCGACGTAGGCCGCGGTTCTAAATACAGCTATTTTTATAAACGTCAGAAGGTAGAAGATTGCCATTTGAACCTTTGGCCGTTCGAACAGGTCAATCGACAGCGGTGGTGTCTGAGAAGAAATAAAATGAGAACTATTACATGTATGTCTGTAGAGATGACTATGTAGCATTGCAGAGCTTTCTGTATATAAGTGCAATACTTACCTGCAGAGCTTTCTGTGTGGACGTGCTATGCTTAGACATTCTTACAGATGAACTTGCTTTGCAGTCATTGTTGGAACATAACCAGCTTGGAAAAGTAGTGTAAAAACTTCTGAAGTTCCTCAGCTAAATGATCTAAGTCTACTAATCCCCTTTCATGATTCCTGCACCAGTTATATGACATGCTACAAGCCTACAAAGGTTGAAGGTGCACCCACCATGCATGGCACTACTTACAGGTTGGTTTACTAAACTACAAATTTCCATCAACTAATTCTGAATGTCGGATTCGGGTATAATACATATCTCCCAACTCCAGCATCCTGTAAATTGGGGCGTCAGTGAAAGGGTGGAAAGGCGGCAGGACAGTGACTCATTTACGCCACTCGTGCTGGTCAAATAGGGTGGGCCTGCTCAGAAAGGGGGTGGGTTCACCCTTGAATTACAAACTGAAGATCTGTTGGTGTGTAGCAGCAACAATCCTGCCGAGGGCCTCTCCTCCAGGCTAGAGAAATGGGAATAATTCACAGTCGGGGGATAGTTGTGCTTCAGATGGATATACAGGTAAGACAAAAAGCGTAAAAAAGGTTCATTGTCTATTTCAGGACAGGAATAAGTGTGGAGTGCCACATACATTAGGTGGACCTTCACACCAACTCTGCGATATCGGGCCTGGGTGCAGTGGCGTACTAACAATGGTGGCGGGGAGGAGGGGGGTGCCACTCATTAGGGTGGTGCCATTCAGGGGTAGACTGAGCTGTCTGTATGGCACTGTGCCCTGGGGGGGGGTCTGATGTCCGAATGACCGGCAGGAGGGGCGTGCACTGCACAGTACCTCACTCCTACCAGTCACTGCATGTACGGTAGCCGAGCAGGCAGACCATGGTAGAGGAGCCTCTGTTACCTCTACTCGGTATGACAGGAAGCGATCACTGAGAACAACAAATTGTTTTCTGTCAGACCGGGTAAAGGAAACAGAGACTAGTCTGCCGCAGACCGCCCACTCGATCTAGGCTACATCAAGGGAGGTGAGGCTGAGTAGGCACATGTGAAGGAACAAAGAAGGGCAAAGGAGGGGAGGGGGCCAAAAGAAGGGCAAAGAAGGGGAGGTGGACAAAGAGACACACCAAGGGGCTGGGGGCTCAAAGAGACACAAGAGCCCCACAGAGGGGCTTGGGGGGAAGACACACAAAAGAGACACTCAGAGACTCGCTGAGGGGTACAAAGAGACACACAGAGGAGCTGGGGTCACAAAGAGACACAGAGAGGGGCTGGGGGCACAAAGAGACAAACAGGGCGGTGGGGGTTCAGAAAAAGATATGCTGAAGAGCTGGGGGCACCAAGAGATGCACAGAAGGGCTGGGGGGACAAAGAGTCACACAGAAGCACTGAGATGGGCAAAGAGAGAAAGGGGCTGGTGAAGGGGGTAAAGAGACACTCAAAGTGTGTTGGGGAGAAAGCAGCATATAGAAGGGCTAGGGGGGACAGACAGGCACACAGAAGGGGAGTGGGGGAAGATGAACACAGAGGGGAAGGGAAAAAAGAGACACACAAAGGGGTTGGGGGAGAAACAGATGCCTGCTAGAAGATGAAAGATGTCTGCCAGCTGGCTACAACAGTCAGCCATGCCTAAGGATATGTGAGATATCTTCTTGTGTGGCATGTAGGGTAGGATTTGAATAATAATAAGTATATAGTTGCACTCACATGTAATAGAGCCTTGAATGGCTCCAGTAAATCAGCATACAGTGGTACAATTTCCACGTTTGGATATTTTTTTTTTAGGAGTAGTCAGTGATGTCGTGTAAAAATAAAACACAAAATAAAGTGCTCTCCATAAGCAAAACGGTTCAGTGGAATAAATAATATTAATTACAATTTATTGAGCAATCTCTAGGTAGTGCTCAATCCTCAGCACTTTGGTGTATAAAATCCCCACTATGGAGACAACTGGAAAAACTTTCACACAGGAGAAGGTATCCAGGAGCACGGATCAAAATGGAACTTTATTTATAACTATTTGAAAACAATAAAAAGAGTGTCATAAAACTTTTGACATATGCTTTTTATGGGCAGTTCCCTGGTGTCCCCAAAAGCGAGAAACCAGGAAACAAAGTCGGGGTGGCAGGACAGGACCCAAAAATTGGCACTGACCCGTTGCAATTGGGAAGATCTGGAGGCCTGAAAATAGCTCAAACGGAAAAATTATCCAAAACAGCTATGATCACAGCTTGGCTATATTTTCCTTAGTTTTGCCATTCTGAATTAATTTGCAAAAATTTAAGGTTTAGTGAAGAACCCAATTGGTGCCCTTGTTAAAGAGCATTAAATGCAATCTATACATTGTGGCAACTGAATAGCCTTAAAATGTACAGATTAAAAAGTTAGTTTGTATTTTCCGTAATTTGAAATTCCTGGGCTTTATTTATATGAATTTAAGGATCCTGTCAGTGCCTGCGCAAGCCGTCACTCCACCCCAAATAACAGGGTTGCATCAAACATGTGTGGCTGTAATTGTTTTTCGATGGGGAGGGTGTGTGTTCAGCCACTCGATTCAGCCAAGGAAGCCATCTTGCTTCAGGAGGAGGGCTGCATGGAGTAATCTTGACACTGTGCAATAAATAAAACCCTTTGTGTGATGTACGACATGCTAATTGTGAATAATTTTTCAGGATTATTCACTAACCATGAACTGTCAGGAATTCAGCAGGAAATTGCTAATTTTAGCTCGCAGTAGCCGATCTGAAAACATGAGCAATTTAGCGAATTTTTCTGCCTCTCTTGACGAAAGGATTCTTTACAACGAGAACGATAAAGTTATGGAATTCTCTTCCTGAAGAGGTTGTTTTATCACATCAGAGATTTTTACAAAATATTTTTAAGTTTTTTGAATAAAGAATATTCAAGGATATAAAAGGTAAACAGCTTGTTAATCCAGAAATTCTGGCAGCCATTTTGGAATCCAAAAAGATTTCGTTTTTTTTTCTGTTTGTGGCAAAATTGGAAAATCACTTTAAAAATGGTTGTTGGCGCCGCGAAGCTAGCTACCGATCGAAGCAGACGTACATGCTTAAAGCTCCTGAGAGAGTTTTGACAAATACAAGCATATAAAATCTATAATCCTATAATTCTATCCTATAATCTCCCTAAAGTCATCCAGACACCATGGGAAAGAAAGCCAAATCTCAAAGGAGCGACACAACCACCTTCTCTAAGGATATTAACACTTTACTCCAAGTGACTCCACAACCAAAATGGCGCCATGCGGGAGGACTCCGACATGGCATCGGAGAAGAGCGCCCACGATGATTCTCTTTTCCCTATCAGGCCCGGTGAAATAAGGCTTAACCCTATTCCTGAACTGTAAAGAAGTAGGCAAGCCCCAATACCACCTGGAGCACTTACCTGCCAGTAAAGCAAATATCCAAAATCTACTGAAAGAGCTGAAGGCCCTATTTGCTGTTGGTGCGGGAGAACTTGGAGACCATGACAGTCCGGCTGCAGGCACTGGAGGATGATGGCAACATCGCAAAAGGTAAACATGACAATCTGAAGACAGAGGTAGACAAGCTTAAGCAAGCTGACCTCATTATGGAGGATAAAGTGGTGGCTGTAACATATTCATCCTCACCTTGCGGTAAGCGGCCGTGCATCTGCATGTCGGACACTTGCAGCATGTTAATGGACGCCGGCCGCTGCGGATTCAAGGCTATTTATACCCCCACACTCGCTCACGTAACTGACGATATCGGTGCGCACGTGACGTCACGTTTTGGGGTCAAAGAGTGATCACAGCCAATCAGAAAAGGAAAACCGGTATAAAAGCCTAGAATTACCTTTCCTCGTTGCACTGTCGTGGTTTCCCTAGTGGTTGTCCGAGAGCGCGTTCCTTATTCAGGTTATTCTGGTTATTTGACTTTGGCTTCCCTGTTTTCTGGTATCCCTGACCTCTGGCTTTCCTTTATCGTTGTGTCTCTTTCTGTTTCCCTTGACCTCGGCTATTCCTGACTATTCTTTGGTACATTAGTCCGGCCATTCTAAGGCCCGGTATGCGTTACCTATTAGTCTCCTGAGTTACACAGTTCTACGTGCTGGATCATACTGTAATCCTGACAGCGGCACTAGAAGACAAAGGATTCGTGGTATCCCTGAAGATATAATAGACATTGAGATTCCTCTCTATCTTCGAAGTCTGCTGAGCTCCATGCCCTCTAAAGCTTAAGCTATGCTACCGCAATATAACTTTCTGGTCCCCAAATCACCTAGAGCCCCTGCTGGGGTCCCAAGCGCCTTATTGCTATACTTCCAGTCGCTTTGGTGTAAGCAACTCGTACAGCCTGTTATGCGTGAATCGTACCATTTTGAAGGTTCTGTCCTTCCCTTCTTTAACAACCTTTCTATGCCCACCATGCTAAGGAGACAGTCCTTGCGACCTGTGACACCGAAGTTGAGGGACCATAAAGTCAAATACCGATGGGGATCAGCCCAAAAATTATCGGTGTTTCACAAGGAGAGTGACTCAGGGGTGACTTTGTAGGTCATGATTCTTGCATGGGTGTGTTTGCATATTGTGTTGGTGTTTGATTGCTGGGATGTCTGCACATACACTGCCATATACATACACATTAACAAACAGAAACACACTGCTTCATAAACAAACACAGATACACACACTGGCGCACATAAATATACAGTCTCAGATACACATACTGGCAGATACACACACTGGTAGATATACACTGACATACAGATGTACACACTAACATACAGATACACAAACAGGCAAATACACACACAGATACACGCACTGACAGATACACACACACACACACAGTGGCACAAAGATAAACACACTAGCACAAAGAAACACACTCAGATACACACAGATGCAAACACTGACAGATACACTGACACAGATATACACAGTGACACATACACACCTTGACACACAGATACACACACTGGCACATACACACTGACACACAGATACACACAGGTACGCATACACACTGACACACAGATACACACACACACACACACACACACACACACATAGGTCATAATGTTTATCCTGTTATCTTACCTTTTTTTTCTGTGGACGGGTGGCTTGCTTGGAGTGCTGCTTGCTGCTGGCGTGTGGAGTCTGCATTAGCTCTCTCTCCGCTGCCACCTTCTCTCCGTCACGCTCTTCGCGCTCTATGTCTGGGAGAAAGTGACCGGCTGTCACCTCCTCCCAGCATCCGATACTACAGGGGCTCAGTCGCACTCTTAAATGGCCGTCGGGGGCTGACCTGGCCTCTGTTCAGCAATATCCATTGGGTGGCCCTAAGTGCCTGGACCATCTGATGGGTAAATCACGGCGGAACCCCAGGTTTGTTCTTCCGGAACCCTAGGGTTCTGCTCGACACCAACTGGGAAATGCCTTAGTGAACAGCATAAAGAGATGTTGAAATTGTAACTCTCCCCAGTTTGTAACGTTTGTAGCTAATTCCCAGGAGTTTACTTTTCAAAACAAGAGGATACAAAGCAAACAAGAGAATAAAATGACAACTATTACAGTAACGACACAACAAAAAAGACACAGACACACACTTTAATGTCTCTTCCTTTTGACCATGACAGATATGAGAGTAATAAACATGGGCCGCAGAAAACGTAAATTATATAGTTTAGTATTGAATAAAATGAATGCATGCAAAATCTATAAAGCGTGATTTTTCTCTGTGTTTTGAAACGTCATATTATCGTTATTCCTAATAAATTACATATTTTTTGTTGTTTTAATAATGATTAAATTTTTAGCACACCTATTAGCAACTATATGAACTGCAACTCCCATGGTCCTCAGCCAGTTTTGCCGGCCCCCCCCCCCCACCTCTCCTAGCTGAATACTGACTTATAATCAAGGTGGTTGTTGTATTTAAAGGGACACTGTAGTCACCTGAACAACGTTAGCTTAATGAAGCAGTTTTGGTGTATAGAACATGCCCCTGCAGCCTCACTGCTCAATCCTCTGCCATTTAGGAGTTAAACCCCTTTGTTTATGAACCCTAGTCACGCCTCCCTGCATGTGACTTGCACAGCCTTCCATAAACACTTCCTGTAAAGAGAGCCCTATTTAGGCTTTCTTTATTGTAAGTTGTTTAATTAGGATTTTCTTATCCCCTGCTATGTTAATAGCTTGCTAGACCCTGCAAGAGCCTCCTGTATGTGATTACAGTTCAATTTAGAGATTGAGATACAATTATTTAAGGTAAATTACATCTGTTTGAAAGTGAAACCAGTTTTTTTCTCATGCAGGCTCTGTCAATCATAGCCAGGGGAGGTGTGGCTAGGGCTGCATAAACAGAAACAAAGTGATTTAACTCCTAAATGACAGTGAATTGAGCAGTGAAATTGCAGGGGAATGATCTATACACTAAAACTGCTTTATTTAGCTAAAGTAATTTAGGTGTCTATAGTGTTCCTTTAAGTAGGAACACAACCTGTTGGCACAAGGGTTTATTTAAGTACATGATGTAATGCCATTTAACGACCAGCAGAGGGCAGTACAGGATAAGCCTTGCTCGGCATAAATGTCTAGCGTTAACAAACTATGTGTGTTTATGGAGTGAAAGTTCAGACATTTAATATACACAGTGAAGCCGGTATCCTGGTTAGACCGAGAAGTAAGTGCCTCCACCTTCTCTGCTACAACAGAAAATCTGTGCGGTAAAAACAAATGTTAATATACAGCTCGCTTCATTGATTTAGCAGAATGTTGATTGTGAGTTGACTGTATGTCTGAACCGAAATTTGATTTCACCAATACCAATTGCAACATAACTCAGACATGTCGCCTTTTAAAATCCACTTAACAGTAATTGTCTGATTTGTGTTTGCATCAGGAACAATCAATGCTTTCTTTATTTCGACGGCGGCTGAGAACAAAGAGGGCAATTTTACTTGAGTTTTGTCCGATGACAGCGACGTGGTGACACGTGGGCGGTGTGGAAGGTACACGTGGCCCCCCTCGCAGGAAAACGTTTGTTTCTAGATAGGAAATATCTATAGCACAGCCATTTGGATCAACAAGCAGATAACGCAAACGTGGATGGACAATGTCCCTCAGCTATGTATTTATATTTCAAACAGAGTTATATAAAACACTTTGGAATCTTTAACAAATTCTGTTTTCTGGGCTTCGATCGAGTAATGGCAAAAAGAAGTTGACAATCTTGTTAAATGCCATATTTCGCATTCCAAGTGTGCCATGTTTTATATTAAAGGATTACGCCAGACTCCTAAAGCACTTCAGCTTGTGTGAAGAATGTGTCCTCTTTTTTCATGTTAAAAAAAAAAAAGTACGTATTTCAATAGAAATGTACACTTTTATAAATTAACCTGGTTACACCACCCCTGGGGGTATATCTACTAAAAAGTGATTTATTTTATTTTGTTTGAGCAGTGGCGTGTCTCTTTAACTCCACTTTCTAATGTCTGCATAATTTGAGAAGATGTTGTCCATTTTGCTTAAATGCTCCACATTGTCTCCTGTTGGGCCAACCTACTCATAATTAATTGAATGTGTAAATAAGCGGTAAACACAGTTAAATGGTTTCAAAAGGAATCCAATGTTTGCAAGAAGCCTCTCAGAATTAAGATCCATCGGGATTTATTGTAACGCACAAATACAATTTGTAATAAGCTCAAGTCGAATACTTTTCAAGCCAATGATTGGTTAGGATTAACTGGCTTCCCCCAGTAGGGGGCCCCCACCAGAATACACCCGAGATAGTTTATTATAGAGGTTGTGGAGCCTCGCAGTAGTCTGTGCGTTCGCTGTCCCTCTCTCCCACTTGCCATACCCCAGAATCTTTTTTCTTAAATTTAACGGTACCATTACATTCAGATGACCCGAACATACAGCAGCCATTGTTATCTGTAGAAGCATATAGTTTATATAAATATCGTACAGGACTGGGAAAATACCCTACAACTGACAGTTTATGTTCTCACGGCGGAATCATGACAATCTATCACACCTTACATATTGCGTAACAACATCCCCACGTTCTTTAGACTGTAAGCTCATATGAACAGCCCCTTTTGTAGTATTGTAGACGGATAGATGGTTAAATATCATGGGAAAGATATCATAACAAGAATAAGAGCAATTTAACTATTACGTCCCTCTGATGATCTGACTTGTCTGATCTCATTATACTTAAACAAATCTGAATATTTAAGTACATGGAACTATAGCAATATGCATTTGTGTTTGATATGTGGTCTAGGTGTGCCGTTCTGAGTATTCAGAAGAAAGAAAAAGTTGCATTCAACCTCACTGCCTTATCTCCTGCATATTTCCTATTATTTATGCAGTGCTTTGTTTCCTGGCTAAAAGCCGCAGAGGAGACTTTTCATTTCCCCAGCTGGAGACCTGCGTGTCGCGGGCAAAGCAGTTTGTTTCTGAACTCCGCGAATTTAATCATTAAGCAGCTCGCTGATTGCAAAAATACAGAATTCCTGAAGCATATCTAACGGGTAAATTAAATTAACGACTTCAAGACGTGTATCTTTTTTTTTTTTTTTAATAAGTGGCTGAATGGTCCTCAGATCGGCAATATGAATACAGTTTGGGAAAATGTTATTGGGCGGTGAATACAGTGAATACTGTTATTTTTGCACAGTTGTTTTACTCTACTGTGAATGTGGCGTAAAACATCTCTAAAAAGGGACTTATTGCTTTACCCCTGCTTAGATAAAGGATTGAATCAATGCAATGACAAATAATAACACGTTGCGCAGTTCCACCACTGTTTTTGGGTGAAAACAGAATCCGCATGAACATAAACCCCAAAGACCCTTGCTTTGGGTGTAAGACAGCTGTGTCTAAGTTTGGCTCTTCAGGGGTTGTGTGCATTCCCCATCATTTTCTACCAGGCTTTATGGAAAGAGTAGACTTGACTTGTCCGAATCTGGGCAGATCAGGTGTTCAATCAAATTGTCCTATTCTGAGCCAAAATGTAGCCGAATCACGACCCAAACGACTTGCGCGATGGCGACAAGAAAGAGATGATTGATGGGAAAAAAATATAATTGATGGCTAGAGTCAGTAAATGTTGATTGATTTTATTCACAGATCACGTCAGAAGTGACCAGTAGAGGGGAAAAAGGAGAAACATTAAACAATAAATCTATATTTATATATTATATATTTAATAAATATATAAAGGTCACTTTGTTTTGGAACGAGTTTGGAAGTTCGTTGGCCAGCCACCAGGTCCAATATTTTTTATGGAGGACGTTCTAGGTTCTGTCCCGGTAGATATTCACTTCCAGCCTGTTGTGTGTGACATTCACTCCTTTTCTGTGGGTAGTTCCACTCTCTTTTGCCTCTTCTGATATGGCTACGTTGCTTCACCGTACTGTGCCACAGGGCTAAAATCTGGTAGACTTGGGTAAAAAACGTTATACATGACGTACTAATGTTCTTACGCAATACATCACTTGGGACATACAGCAAGTGGTGAAGCCTATGACGAGGGCTGCTATGGGCTTTGCCAGGCTGCCATTTTGGGCTACATAGGTACAAAACGTTTTGCATAGAAAGACATTACGTGTACTTTTGGGACTGGTCAGATAGGATGCCGTGTGTGACACAGGTGCACCTGGTAGTTTAAAACGTCTGTGTGTTCACCCAGTGTAGCAAGTGGATGTCATGTAAAACATTACATTTTTCACTTTATGATTAAATCTATACATTTGTTAAGCGTTTAGTGTGCGCCGTTTAGATTTAGAATTATTTGCAGATTAGAGTAGGATTGTGTCATGTTATGCTTAAATGACTCCCTTTAATATCTTGCAGCCATTTGATTCGTCTCATACACAGAGGTAATTATTGTCCCTATTCATTAAACTGCATAATGTTATACTTGTCATCATGACCAGGAGGGCTAAAAGAAAAAAATATTAGAAAAATAAATTTTCGTCTCAGGGGACAGAACTGTAATTTTCTGCTTGTCACAAAATGACACTTCACATATTTTAGTATTTTTCTTCTTCGAGTCTTGTTCAAATTTTAAATGTGTCTGTCCGAGAATGAGCCCGTTCTTTTGTGCAAATCAAACTGGCTGCAGAACAGCGGATCTCCGGCCAATGCTTGCCACAATGGCGGGCAGACGCAATCATGGATTCCTTGAAATATTGACATTATGATCCGTTGGGACTGTCGCCTTTCTGTTGATGACGATTCCTTGTTTGAGCCCTGTGAAAAAGCTGTTGAAGCACTCACTGGAGTTAGGTATGTAGTGGAGGCAAGTAAAAAGCACACTTACCTTTTCTGTACATCTTGGTGATTAGCGTTACCATGTGTTGCAGATGCTCCCATGTTTTCTTGAGAGCATGAGCAGTCATGAACCCCAGGAGGAGAGTCACTGAACAGAAACAACGTAACTTGTATGTCAACATGTATCAGAACAACCTTCTATTTTAAGGAAATGTGAATAATAATATTAATAATTGATACATATTTGATATCTGGGACAATGAACTTTCTACTCCGAAGTAACAGTTTTCTCCATAAAATTTGGGAATCTCAAGATCCACCAGAAATTATAAAAATGTAACTGATGTAACTGTAACGTGATCTAACTTTTAGCTACTAACCTGCCTGTTTAACTTCACTTCCTCCTGCTGGTCTAACCTATCCAGGTCCTGGATAAAACTCTAAGGACCCATAATGCAGATATTTATGCTATGAGGACACTTTCACTGGCTCACGCACCCTAGACCTCCACAGGGGCTCATTAGCCAGAGATATTCTCCTGAGTCCATCAACACATAGCAAGCATTTTCTGTAAACCCATTACTTTTCTCTATCTGTGGGGAACTGTATCAGACACTTTAACAGAATCCAAGTAGATCACGTCCACTGCTACACCCTGATCTACACTTGTCCTCTTTGTTCTTCGTACAATGAAATGAAGTTAGCGTGACAAAATATGTTAATTTATACTGATGGAACTGTTCAAAATGTGTTACTGAGCACCATCCCTTACTAATCCTTCAAATAACTTCAGATGTCTAGATTACAGTTATGTGATTGTCTGTGATTTGGACATGGGATGGGGAAAACCGTCTGCACAAAACTTTATTTTTTTTTTAGCAGTTAAAGGGACATTGTAGGCAATGTAACTGCTTTATCACATTGAAGTAGTGATAGTGTTTGATGTCCCCTGACACCGTCCTTTCATTCAGCATTAAACCGTTTTAAGTGTTATAATGCTAAACATGAAACCCCAGTGGTCTATCCACTCTGTGCTGCTTGGGTTAATGAGGAAGTGTTTGCCTGAGCAGCAATAGGCAGCTGTGATAGGCTGAGAGTGTCAGCTGATTGCATTCAGCCCATCACAGTGTCTATTGCTGGTATGAATTGGTATGGCTATAAGGAAGTGTGTAATCTCTGCCTTAGCTATATCTCCAGTGGGGGTGGGGTGGCCAGGGAACCTCATTCATTCTTAAACTGCTCACAAATGGTTTAGCACTGAATGGAGGGAACTCCAGGCACTATAACCACTTCAATGAGATAAGGTTATAGTGCTTAGATCGTCCCTTTAAACTATGTGATGGGGAAAGGTGTTTTTCTCCAGCAAACGTTGCCATAAAAAAATCATGAATGGAGCTTTCTGAACTGTGAGTGGAGATGAATGGAAAATTAAATTGCAAACATTCAGGTCAACATATCCGAGATGGAAACGTTTGCTTGCTAATTCATTTCCTGTCCCAGCGATTTCAGCCGAATATTTGCAATTTTGAATTAAAGGAACACTGTAGTGTAGGGATACAAGCCTGCATTTCTAATGCTATAGTATTCCCCTCTGCATTTAGATTCAGGGCCCCCTAAATCAAACTAAAAATAATGAAAAAATTGTATTATTATTATTATTTTATTTATATAGTGCCAGCAAATTCCGCTGTACAATGGTTGGACTAACAGACACTTAATTGTAACCAGACAAACGGACGCACAGGAACAGAGGGAGTGGGGTATAGTGACACAGTAACAGAGGGGTTGAAGGCCCTGCTCAATGAGTTTACATGCTAGAGGGAGTGGGGTATAGTGACACAGTAACAGAGGGATTGAGGGCCCTGCTCAATGAGTTTACATGCTAGAGGGAGTGGGGTATAGTGACACAGTAACAGAGGGATTGAGGGCCCTGCTCAATGAGTTTACATGTTAGGGGAGTAGGGTATAGTGACACAGTAACAGAGGGATTGAGGCCCTGCTCAGTGAGTTTACATGTTAG